TTGCCCCCCACCTGCGTGTCGTTCCCGCAACTACCAGAGGACACCCAGACCCGAGCCGCGCCACGTCCCGGCCCACGCTGGGAGGAGTTTTGCTCCGCGGAGTCTCAGTCTAGCGCCCCTTTCTGCGAACTCTACCTCGGAGTGGGCAGGTGCTCAGGATCCAGATGCGCTCTGCCCACATTGATTTCGAGGGGGCACTCCTGAGAAACTAGTCTGAGCTTGTGCGCCCTCTGCAGACATTCGAGCTCCTGTACGGGGACCCAAGGCGACAACTGGGCAGCTGTGGGTTCTTAGGGACAGATGTGTCCGAAAGCCCAGCTAATGGGTGAAGGGATTTTTATCCTGTCCACCCACATTCTCACTGGCCCCAGGCCCTTCCCAGGAGGAAGGAGACTTGAGGCCACTAGAGGGGGTCCCACCATGCTGCTGAGAGAGAGGCAGGGAGGCCCTAAAATGCTGCCCTGGTGAAGGTGTAACGCGGTGGTGTTCTGTGCTGTTGAGTCAGTTAGGATTCAAAGCAACCCTGTGTCCAACAGGACACTGGAGGGTGGGGGTGGGGGTGAACCTGTGCCACCTTCACGGTTCAGTTGGAACTTACTGGTGCAGCCACTGTGTCAATCCATCTCATTGAGGCTCTTCCTCTTTGATGTTCCAAACAAAATACCCTTTTCCAGGGATTGAACAATCCCTCTTGAAGCTCGTAGAAACTTGGGGCCTTTCACCTTTCCGGTCATGCTCATCCTGGGCTCTGAGCCAGCACTGGCCAGAGGATGACCATAGCCAGGTGAGACAAGGCTGAAGGTCATGACCCCAGCCTCTCTGACGGGGTGGGAGAGTGGGCAGGATTCTGCTAGGCAGCCACTCAGCAGTCCCTCGGCCTGTCCAGACACCCTCCCTTGTTGGGCCCAGAGCTTGGGCTCTCTCCCCTGAAATCTTGGCTTCCTGGAGGTAAGATGAGGGCTCTGGGCAGACTGCCCTCAGAGGACGTGTCCACTAGAGCACCCTGTTGGGTGCTCAGGCAGGAGGAAGTGGCATTGCCCCAAGGTAGAGCTGGTGACACAACCAGATGTAGTGTCTGAGGCATTTGGCTGCCCTTGGGCCCCTGAGGTGTCTCTCTCACACCTGATACTTGGTCCAAGCCACAGTGAGTGGCGGCTAGCGGCCAGGGGCAAATCCCAGCACTGACATAGACATGATCAGGCAGTGGCCCTGCCGAGAGAGGTGAGGTTGTATGCAGCCTGAGCTGTGACTGTGACAGAAGGCCGTGTCCAGTAGCAGTGCAGCCACTGGTGGAGCCTGAGGTCCTTTGGCTGGGTGGGAGGCCCCTCCTTGTACAGACCACACAAACACACACCCAGCCTGGCCTTCTTCCCAGTCTTTGCTGCCCTGGAATCCCTGTGGGTGTCTAGCCCCCTTCCCTGTTCCTGCTGTCCTGGAAAGGCCTGGGAGGTGTGTCAAGGGTGGGAGGTACCCAGGCTTCACTAACCAGCATTTACTCACTGGTCTGTGGTAGCCTATAGAGTCACCACTCAGCAGTCCTGCCACCTAGCTGTTGCCCCTGGCCCCACCCAGATCCATGTCTTGCAGCTGTTCCCAATGAGCAAGCAAGGGACTGAAGCGAGGACCCAGTCTCAGTGCCCCTTATCACAGAGCGCCCCCAAATCCCCACTCCCCCTCCATTTGGCCTGCGGGACTTTCTTAGGTCCTGGGCTGTGATTCTAGGTTCTTCCTGCCCAGCCTGCCTGACCCCTTTCCTTTCAGCAGTGTTGGACCTGCATCCTCTTCAGAAGGCTTTGTCTAGCCCTGCCTCTGCCCCCTTTATTTTTGCACATGGGCTCATCTTGGCGTTATCCCTTCTTGGTATCTGCTTCTCAGAGGACCTGCACTGACAGTCTCTGTCCTCATAGCCGCACCGTCCCTCTCCCTTGTCCAAAGGAGCCCTTCCAAGACCTGAAATGCATTTGCATGCATCACCTTCCTCCCCATCCTTCCCAGGCTGCTGCTTATAGAAGGCCCGGACTGGACCTTCCACTGAGGAACAGGAAGGAAGGTGAGAGAGGCAGCTGGGCTTCCCACTGGGAGAAGGGGAAGTTTGCAGAGGCACACCTGGAGCACGCTTTACAAATCAGATGTGGCCTTTATTGTGACAGCCGCAATTCCCCAGGAGGTGCACACATGGGCAGCTGGCGTGGTGGCAGAGATCACCCCCACCCCCACCCCCCAGTCATCCTCACTCCTCCCCTGTCCTCAGCCAAAAGCAGCTGCTAGCCCGGGGAGAGGCTCATGGAAGGTTGTCAGTCAGAAGTCACACGGAGCCCGGTGACTGTCAAGGCACTAGATTGGCAAGAAGGCAGGAGCATGGGGTCCAATGCAGGAAAAGGGCAATGGGGCACCCTAGGGTGGCCCCAAGAGGGACAGAGGGGCATTAGCGCTGACCCTGAAGGGTGCTGAGGCCTCTGGTCTCAGGTGGAGTGGATGGCAGCCCAGATGGTCCTTGGAATGACCCATGGTGAGGTCTAGGAGTTGTCCTAGGGGGCTAAGACTATAAAAGTGGCTCCTAGAAAGGGCAGAGGACACCAGCCTGGGGGCACCCCGCCTCTGCTGAACCCCCTCCATCAGTGGCCCACAGCTTCCAGGGTCAAAGCAGGTTTGGTGAGCATTGGAGGAGTCTTGGCTGATCCAATGGCAGTGGGGGAGAGGAGAACCAGGTCCCCCGTGAGTCCAGGTGTCAGCCAGGGTTGGCTGAAGGAACAGTGGCTACCATGCCAGCCAGGAGTGTCGGGGAGCCCACGGTGGCATGAGAGGACCATGGCTTCCGGGGGAGGGGTGTGAAGACAGCTTGCTCTGTACCAGTCCAGGTCAAGTTCCAGGAGAGCGGGACCAGCCGCTGGAGAGGGGGCCAGGGGCACCCAGGCCTCGGGAGGTGGGAAGCAGTCCTCTGAGGTGGATGCGTGGGGGTGGCGGAGCTGCTGGCCCAGCCAGGAGCTCAGGCCGCCTCATTTGCAGTACTCCTTCCTGAACTCTGGAAACCAAGGGCAAGGCTGAATCTGTGCTCCTCACCACCCTGAGGGCGATTCAGGGCAGACATCCCGCAGGACTTCCCAGGGGAAGCTGGGCGCAGTGACTTTGGAAGCCCCTGGAAAGAGGTGGAGGGTGGGCTCCGAGGTGGGAGGAGGGTGGGAGAGCCCTTCACCAGACACTCACCTTTGTCCAGGTCTACGTTCTTGGCCGGCAGGGGGCAGTGGGCCAGCTCAGCCCTCTCCTTCAAAATGTTGTTTTTGTAATCTGTCACCCAGAGATTACACCGTGGGTGAGCGGCTGGGCTCCCCAGACATGGACTTCCCCCCAGCCGAGGCTGATGCCCACCTCACCTAGTTGGATGTCATCGCCCCGGTGAGGGGCCTGGTCTCCAGAGCCCACAGCCAACTCTGCCATGTTCACGTCCTTCCTGGAGGAGGAGGGGGTGGGGTGGGGGGGAGGGGTCAGGGGCTGGGCAGTGGGAAGAGATGGTTCCCCAGGAGAGCCAGGGATACTCACCCCATTGCCGCCCTGGGCTGCTTCTCTGAGTATTCATAACCTGAGGGGGGTGGGGGCTTGTATTGCTGCTGGCTTGGCGCCGTGACCCCCCCACCTCCACCCCTCCCAGGCCCTACTCACCCATCCGAGGAAGTCGTGCCCCCCACCCCGCCAGCTGGCCCCTGGGCCTTTGGGCTCTTGCTCGCCTCCTGCTGAGCATGCCGGGCATTGCACCCCTGTCCCGCCCTGCCCCGCGGCTCAACTACTCCCCATCCTCTGCTGAAGTGGCGGCGCCTGTGCCCAGGGCCTGCGGCCCAGGCCTCACCTCTGCGGTGGCGACGCTGATGAGTGGCCAGGACGACGACGATAATGAGCAACACAATGAAGAGCAGCAGGACGGCCAGCACGGAGCCCAGCTGCTGGAAGAAGTGCACGCGGCCCTCGGGGATGATGACGTTGATGACACTGCGGTCGCGAGCCAGTGTGGGGTCTGCAGGGACAGGGAGGGGCAGGCAATGCACCCCTCTCTGTCTTGATTGGCGTGTGTGTGTGTGGGGGGGGTGTGTCCATTCTGGGCAGCCCCAGCGGGTGAGTCCCTTCCCCAGGCCATCCCCGGGTCCCTGAATGTGGTCCCTGAGTGAGACCGGAAAGCGGACCCCGTGACTCACAACGCCTTCTCCAGGGCCCAGGGCCACT